GCAGCTGAAATAAGGCTGAAAAAAACGGCTGAAAAAAAGACTAAGTCCCATCGCAGAATGGGACTTAGTCTCTGCAGCTGTAAAACCAGTAGGGGAGAAGGTAGAGCTCAGCGGTGTTTGCGGAAATGTGTAGCCGATTTTAGTTCCATGAATTTGGTTACACATACCGCTGACCTCGTCGAATGATCAAAGATGGCCGCCGCCACGTGTTCGGCAAACGAACAAAGACCTCCCAGCATTGTCAATTAAGCTGCGGTTAACCGCAGCTTCTGGGAGGTAAATTGCCTGCACACTTCCACTTCTGGGTGGTCTGCCTGTGTGGTACCATTTACTGAACCAAGTGGGAAATAGCAAGGCAGGCACAAAGGGTTTGCACCAGGTCTGGGGACACAGGGGACACCGTCTTAAAGGGGCCGTGTCCCCAACAAGTCTGGGGACACGGCCTTAAAGGGGCAGTGTCCCAATCTTCCTGATGTCCCAAAAAAGGTGTTTAAAGGGCCAGCACCAGTCACATAAAGAGTCCATAAGCCCCAATATGCCCACCGACAGTCTTAAAGGGCCATACACACCAAATAAAAGTGCATACATTTTCACAATCTCCCAGGGACCATAGTCATGCGGGAGGAGGCTGGCAAATAGGCTTCTCCACAACCCAGGGAAGCAGGGCAATTTGCCATTTAAAGGGCCCGTTACAAATAGCAGTTTGTAACAAGGTGTCAATCCATATCTGCCAAGTGACCCTATGTAGGGGGAACAGTCCCTATTCTGCTCTGTGTCAGTGTGTATCATGGTCTCTGAGGACAGGTGTCAATCCATATCTGCCAAGTGACCCTATGTAGGGGACCAGTCTCTATTCTGCTCTGTGTCCGTGCATCAGGGGCTCGGAGGACAGGTGTCAATCCATATGTCAAGGTGTCAATATCATATGTCAGGTGTTGTAACAGGACTTCACCAGCACCAAAGCCCTGTGGACTAAAACAGTGAAAATGGCGAAATTATTGCAAGGGAATACCATTACTGGAGAATACAGCCGTTCGCCTGGTTCAGACGAATCCCTTTGTCTGAGAATAGGTGGCCGCCATTTCGGGACTTTACACGTGTTCGCGGCCATCTTACGCACGAACGGCGGTGTTTGCCTGTGAACTCATGGAACTAAAAACGGATGCGCAAACAGGCGAACGCCGCTGAGACCTCCAGGAGCTCGTAAGTTCGTGCTGAAACTACCGAACGACCGGCCGTTCGGTAGTTTTGTTTAAGCATGCATGGGGATTCAGGCGAACGGCAGGATTACTGTGGAGGGCAAGGGGTTCGTGGGGTTTTTATTCACGAACGGGGACCGACCGCAAGGCCAAAACTTGTGGAACTCTTTTCGGCTGAAAATCCTGTGCGGTCGGTCAAAACTTCAAAGACCCATAACTCCCGAACCCCACAACCGAATGACGTGAAATTTGAATATGTTATTCCCCTGAGTGGTAGCTATTAAGCGGTGCTGGACTTAAAGGTGTACCCCCTGTTTTTGGGGTACATCCAGAATGTGGGTAAATTTAGGTACGTTATAATTATGTTATATGTTTATCTGAGGGGAGGAGACGTGGGGGTGTTACCCTGTGTGTAATTGGTTATTTTCATCCTCCCCCTGGGAGTGTCCTGTGTGTACTTGTTCCTAATAAAAAGCAGGCTGGTTCTCCCAGACCTCAGATCTTCTTGACCCTGCAAAACGTAGCCTTGTCTCGTTCTTGGAAGGGGATTATTTGGGAATGTTATTCTGCTCCTGCTACAGCTGAACCTGACTTTTACTCTGGATATCGTGAATGGGATTATACCAGCTTACTTCTCCACAGCAACTTGCAGGGAAAAAGGACGTCTCCAACGGCCGATACCCTCTCTCTACCAGGGTAGCCGTTACATTGGTGGCAAGCGGTGGGATGGTCCTTTTATCCAACAAGCAAGCACTGAATGGAGTCACAGTATGCGAAGCTGAAAAGACCCACACTAAAGGATCTTTTGGAGAATCGTGGTAGGAGTGCCAGCAACAGACCACGGAGGGAGCTGATAGCTGACTTGCTGGAGCTGGACGAGATGGACAGGTCCATGGAGGTAACTGAACCCATGGCACCCATCAGTGAGGACGATGTGATTACTGCAATTGTGCAGCGGAGATTAGCTTTGTATCCAGTCACATCTACAGAACTAATAACCCAACTGTTCCGGGAAGCAAGGGAAGAAATACAAACCAAGAGGGAACAAGAAACGGAACTGGTAAGAGCCCGACAGCTCACTACCCAGACAGTTCCTACCCCGCTACCCACTACTACGGTAACGAAAATTCCCTTTACTGCATTTAAAGCCTTTGTAGAAAATGACGAGGAAATTGATGGATATTTGGCTGACTTTGAAAGACAGTGCTCACTACATCACATACCGCCAGAGCAATGGGTCACTATCCTGGCGGGAAAACTGTCAGGGAAAGCTAATGAGGCTTTCCGAGCACTCACTACAGAAGAAATCACGCAGTACCAAAAAGTAAAAGAGGCACTGCTCACCAGGTATGCGGTAACCCCAGAAGCCTACCGTCGTCGCTTTCGGGAGTCCAAAAAGAAAGCTGTGGACTCCCACATGGAATGGGCAAACCGACTACAGAGAGTAGCATCTCACTGGGTCCAAGGGTGCAAAGCCCACACGGGTGAGGAGGTGTTACAGTTGTTCTTAATGGAACATTTCTTCCAAGATTTGGCGGCGGACATACAAGACTGGGTACGAGATCGGCGCCCCGCCAATTTAAAGGAGGCGGCTCGGCTGGCCGACGAATATGCCGAGACAAGGAAAGTAAGCCAGGGTACTACACGACAAGCTCATAAAATAGAGCCACGTGCCCCAGCCGCTGTCTCACGCCCAGAATTTCGAGCTCCAGTCCCACCAGGACCACCCCGTCCTCAGGGGCCTACTAACTACCCCCGGGATTTGTCAAAGGTGACGTGCCATCACTGCAGCAACCTCGGACATATTGCCCGGTATTGTCCCCTAAGATCCAGTAACAACAACTGGAGGCGTACAACTCCCAGCACCGAGGCCCCTGCAGCACGACCCGCTGCGGCTCACTGTCTGGAAGCCGAAATGGGCCCTGAAGAATGTCTGGGGATTTTGTATGAAGCAGACCCCATACAAGCTGCTTCCCCAGACAATCGACAACATCACCGACAGGAGGTTAAGGTGAATGGACAAACAGCACAAGGCCTAAGAGACACCGGGGCTACCATCACTTTGATCCAAAAACACCTAGTGAAGCCGGAGGATGTGTCTACCCGCACTGTTGCTGTTCGGGTCGCAGGGGGCGCTGTTTTTCGCTTGCCCACTGCCCGAGTACACTTAGATTGGGGAGTTGGATCAGGAAAAACCACCGTCGGCATTATGGACAACTTGCCTGCCGAGGTCGTATTGGGAAATGACATTGGACCTTTAACTTCAGCATATTTGCCCACACCTGCGGCCGCCTGCCCCGTAACCACCCGGTCACAGTCCCGTGTCGCAGATGACCCTAATACAGGCCGGGAGACCCAGGTAAGCCAAGCACCCACATGTCACCCCACTACGATAAGCAGGCCCATAGCTTGGGACACCCCAGAGGAGTTTGGGAGGGAAACTAGAGAGGACCCCACCCTCCAAAAGTATCGAGAATTAGCTGACAGTGGGGGGGACGGACGGGAAAGTTTTCTATGGGATGGGGACAGGTTATACAGACTGGCTGAAGGTAGAAAGAGAGGCTGTGCCCCTTCGCAGAAGCGCCAACTGGTGGTACCCAAAAAGTACCGGTTGGAACTTCTCCGAATTGGCCACGACATTCCGTTGGCAGGACATCTAGGGGGTAACCGCACCACCTTCAGGATCACCCAGACCTTCTTTTGGCCGGGGATCTCGAAGGATGTGCGACGTTACTGCAGTACTTGTGACGTATGCCAACGGGTAGGGAAGAGAGGGGATCACCCTAAAGCTCGACTGTTACCTATGCCTGTGATCGAGGAACCATTTAGCAGGGTAGCAGTCGACCTAGTGGGACCCCTACCTAACCCCAGTCCCTCTGGTAAGAAATACATCCTTACCGTGGTGGACTATGCTACTCGCTACCCAGAAGCCGTCGCTCTGACGAATATCCAGGCTGACACTGTCGCCAGTGCTTTAGTCGGGATATTCACCCGAGTGGGATTCCCCCAGGAAATCCTGTCCGACAGAGGGACCCAGTTTACCGCCGACCTAACCCAACAGC